TAATGATTAAGCTTCAGTGTTCATTTTCTGTAATAAGGTGAGAGTTAATACACTGCACTGTATGCAAGTACATTTAGACACTTAATTAAATTTGTGTAAATAAGAAGTTTTTAGGGTACCTCTATGAGTGTAAATAAATATATATTATAAAAACGTGTGTTGTCTGTAAGTGCTCTTTGGGTTACTTTCTTGCCTTTACATAACAATAATTCATAACTAAAACAACAAGGCATCTTGATTTGATGTAAATTGTGCTGTTTTACATACTAATACTATCTTTGTCATTGCAGAAAACATCATGTACACCACAGATAGCATCCTCACATGCTCGTCGCTGACATTAGGCCTCTGACGACGGTTGAAAATGAAGATGTAACTTCACTACCATGATCTCCACCTTGAACCCTGGCTACACTCTTCCCTCAAGGACCCATTTCACGAAGCTCATGGAGACGTCCGAGCAGTAACCTGTTCTTTTTGCACTTTTGTTTGCACTGTCAATTAACTAATGTTCTGTTTTTGAATAAACGTGTGGAAATTCAAAATGTTTTTTTTTTTTTTTTATCCGATTAATCGGAAAAATAATTAACCGATTAACGGATGATTAAAATAATCGTTAGTTGCAGCCCTAGAGCAGATGTCTTCACTGGGTCATCATGATACCAGGATTTTAAAATTCAATATGATTCTAGTAATCGCTAGAAAACTCTTGTCTTCCTGTCACAGCACGCTTGTCTGCGGCTGCATTTTAGCGTTTTTTTGGCCAGTTATAAAAATTACCAAAATGATAAACTTTTCAGCTCAAGGTGCCGAGTCACAGCGGCCGTCAGTGCCACTTTTGGACGAGGCAGCCGATCAAATCAACATGGAGGATTTACCTCTGCTTTGAATCAAGTCTCTCACTCTCCATGATGCAGCGTGGACGTTGTGTTATATCTTCTGTCCACTGAGACGCTTCTCTGTTGTGTTTTATTTATTTGGACTGGTGATTAATGTCTGTGTTTGTGTCCCATCAGCCTGCTGCTCTGACGTCTGAACTCCACCTTCAGAGCACTGACCTTGGGCTGCAGCTCAGCGGATTCCAACATGGAACTCTGACCTGTGGCAAACATTGGGACTTGTCGGGGGAGGGGGAGTGAGTGTGTGCTGCTCACCAAGTCCTCCGGCGGTCGGTTGATTCTGGCCCAGTCGACCGAGGGACCTTTGACCTGCAGAAATCTGTGGAAGAGCTTCTTGAATCCATCGAAGTCTTTTCTGGAGATCTAAAACAGAACAAGCCGAACGTCAGTGACACGTCGTGACTAAAACAAAAAGCTGTCAGCTGTGAGTTTCAGACGTCTGCAGAGTTATGAATATTAGACTTCAGGACTTCATATTAGAACACCCTCATGTTCATCAGCAGACTCATGGTCGAGAGACTAAAAACATGCAAACCGATATGATCACACAATCCCACACACATCCATGTTTTCTTCTCCCTTTGACTTGCATTGTAACCTGGTTGACCTTTTTTCCGCCGCCATATTGCTGTATTTAAAACTCTGAAAACCTATCTTTGGCTGTTTATCCTCATTCACATCATTGTGAAACACAGAATGGGATATACTAGTGACTCGGCGCTGCACAGCTCCACAGAATCAGAGCAAACGAATCTTTTCACATCATTTATAGCACCATTCATGCCCAAAGTAACCCTAAACAGGCAACCAGCTGGTTGACCTGCATATCTGCTTCCTGATTGGTTAATCTGAAAAATATAACCTGAAATGTTGCTGAGTGAAGAGGCAGGAACACAAAGTTATCCTCCTGCAGATTTTAAAACACGTCATGAATTCATGTCAGTAATTAAATCAAAGTCACCACCCCCTCCCACTCGCTGCGTTCTATCATCAGCTCACATCGTGCGTGCGTGCGTGCGTGCGTGCGTGCGTGCGTGCGTGCGTGCGTGCGTGCGTGCGTGCGTGACCTCGGGGTTGTTGACCTCATGTTTCACCACACAGTCCACGTGCTGCGTGATAAGATGAACTAATGGACTCTCTGTGTGTGTGTGTGTGTGTGTGTGTGTGTGTGTGTGTGTGTGTGTGTGTGTGTGTGTGTGTGTGTGTGTGTGTGTGCGCACGCAGCACTTGACAAATATTTGCTATATGAATGAATCAGATACACATGGATTCTCTTTAAGGCCCGCCTCCCCCAGTGCCCACTTCTTTCTGACTGGTCAGCGCTCTGGAAGCCTTCCAGTGGGCCGAACGCTGCAGGGCTACCTCATCTGCATGTTACAAAGTCAAATCCACTTTTATATACTGAAAGAAACCCACCTGTGAGTGCAGCGACTAAACCCAGCTGATTAAGAGTCGGGGCGCTGATTAAGAGTCGGGGCGCTGATTAAGAGTCGGGGCGCTGATTAAGAGTCGGGGCGCTGATTAAGAGTCGGGGCGCTGAACGGGGGTTTCTCACCTCAGCCTCACTCTTGTTGGTTTCTGTCGTGAGCAGCGCCTCCAGCTCGCGGTGCATCGACTCCTCGTGCTGCTGACGGAGCTTCTCCTGGAACTCCGTCATCGCTCCTCTGGTCAGGTCTGCAGAGAGAGAGAGAGAGAGAGAGAGAGAGAGAGAGAGAGAGAGAGAGAGAGAGAGAGAGAGAGAGAGGAGCAACATGGTGACATAAAGGTTGAACAAAGTTAAAGTCAGGAGTCCGGCTTTGTGTTTGAAACTGAAGGTTTCATTTGAGACTTGTTTTGCTCACAAAGGCTGTGTTTTAAAAAACAAAGATTTTAAGGTTGTCTTCCTAAAAACATCAAACATCCGAAACAACAACAGTTAGCTTTAAAATCAGACGCTGACTTTAAAGTGGAAGTCAATGTCAACGTGTCCCGGGAGATAGCGCTGAGGATTCTTTAAATACTAAAAGCAGAACCTTTCCTCTATCAGACCGACCCTGAGAGGAACTCCAAGAGAAAACCTGAAAGTTCTTTATTAAAGAGTCCAATCTGTCCCAACAGCAGGAAACAAACTTACCCGCTACAGTCAGAGACATTTCACCGAAGTCAACACACAAAGACGACAAAGACGGGGGTCAAAGAAGAAGACGAGGAAGGAGGTTCAGAGACGGCTCACAGTGAGTCCACAATCCCAGAGAAGAAGAAGAACAACACACGTCCTCCTCATCGTCAGCTGAGAGAGGAAGCTCACAGAGCTGCAGCCCCGACCCTGAACGCAGCACACAAGACCTGCCCCCCCCCACACACACACACACACACACACAAGACCTGCCCCCCCACACACACACACACACACAAGACCTGCCCCACACACACAAGACCTGCCCCACACACACACACACACACACACAAGACCTGCCCCCCACACACACACTCTCACACACACACAACTCGTTCTATACTTCAGTACTTGGGGTAGAGTGTCTCTCCCAAGGACACATCGGACATGTGGCTGAAGGAGCTGGGAATCAAACCCCCGACGTTCTGGTTAATAGACAACCGACTCTACCCACTGAGCCACAGCCGCCCCACTGATGATGCTCGTTGTAATCCATATAGCGCCCTCTGCTGGGGACAGAGAACTGCCAGTGTAAAACAATGAAACTCAAATGAAAAGATAAAATTAGCCGACTCCAGAGAGTCACTGGAGACGCTGATATCGACTGGCAGATTTATCGGTGTGGCTCCGTGTGGAGGAGTTTACTGTCTGAGCTGTGTCAAAGGACAATTTCTGTCACTGTTGGGACAGACTTTAAAGTTTATCTATCTATTGCGCAAGCATAAAAGTTAAAACAGAGCTGCCCCCCCCTCCTCTCTAGAGTGGATGCTCACTCAGGTCACCATGTGGTGGACTCTGAAGCTTCAGTGTTTATCCAGCTCTGCATGGGTCTGTAAACCTTTCTGTGTTCTAACCTCTCTCCATTTTTCAAAAGCATCTCCAATATTGATCCTAGTTTGAGCACGTTTCTGCTCGTGGAGCTTATTAGAAACATGCAGAGGCTTTTTAGGTCGGGTACAATCACTTCTATCTGAACCACTTCTCTTGACCGCTTCCATCGCTGCAACACCTGTTGACCTGATAACTGCTCTCATATCTGACAAACTGAGGGGCGTCCAAAACGCTGTGTGTGTGTGTGTGTGTGTGTGTGTGTGTGTGTGTGTGTGTGTGTGTGTGTGTGTGTGTGTGTGTGTGTGTGTGTGTGTGGGGAAGGGGCGTGTCTTAAAAGCGCCTACCTTCTCTGGTCCAAACAAATCCAGAGCATTCAGGAGCAGAATCTAAAGTTAGAAGGAGGACATACTGGCTGCTGCATTGTTGTCAGAGAAGCCAGCACTTCAACATGTTTCCTTAATGATCAGAGAGTAAGATACCTTTATCAGCTCACTGATTGGTCCTTTACTTCATGTGGTATTAAGAAATGTTTAAAAGTCTACTTTGTTTTCACGTATCAACATCAGTCTCTATTTTGGAGATGTTTTAATGAATGCCTTCACATGTGTTGAATAACTTGATGTTTGTGTTGTAATTTATTTTTATTGATAAGATAAATGATCAGATAACACTGTGTTTGTGAGCAGGTTCATGCAGCAGTTTAGAAAATGTTTCAGGTCTGTTACCCACCTGAGCACCCTGTCAAAGTACCGGGGGACCCTCACAACACCAACCGGCCGGGACCGGGTCAGACTACCGCTGAGACCCGGAGGACCCGAGTTCAGAATCAAAAAGTCGGTTTAAAAGGTCGAAAGTGTCCGAAGTTTCCTCCTCCTGCTGCTAGCTTCTCCAGCTGACTGCCGGCCTAGCTGCTGTCTGCAGGCAGCGCGAGCGACACCAAACAACTGACAGCGAGTGACGTAGCCAAAAAGAAAGACGCCTATTGGTCTGAGATGCCTGTCAATAACATGAGTAGATCCCGCCTACCATGATATTCTAACTCGACTCAAATAATAGTTTTAAAATGTTTAAATCCATCATATAATAATAGAATATTATGAAACATGAAACAAAATACTACGAAATAAAACACATTTAAGTTAAAACATAATAACATAATAAAACAAAAACAAATGTAATAAATAATTCGTAAAATAGAATATAAATTTAAATTAATTTAATTTAAAAAATAAATTTAATTTAATTTAAACAACTTAAATAAAATAATAGAAAATTAGGTTAAATATATCTATTTTAATTTTAATATAATTTAACAACATAAATTAAAATAAATAATAATAATAATGAAATAAAAATATTTTACGCTTTTGCTTTTTTACCTGTATTAAGCTTTGATAAAAGTTTAGTTTTACAACCATTTCTTTCGTTTTTTTTATTTTATTAGATTCTGTGTTAATATTATTACTATGCAGTAATAGTTATAATAATAATTGTGGTAATTAAATTATCATGTATTTATTTCAGTTATTAATGTTACCTGAGTGTGAAACATTCAAATATCAGATAAATATGTTTAAATTATATTTATATCTGACTGTATTTGTATTCTTCCTCTCTGAAGGTGACGTCATGTTAAACTGCTAGTCATCTTAAACGGATCCATCCAATCCATTAAAATTCAGCCTGGATCAACACCGCCCCCGTGTGGCTGAAAGGAGAACACAGAAACATGAGAGGTCACTGTAAATCTCAATGTGTTGTTTTTTCCTCTTCACTTCATCTGTCACTAAAAGTCAGGTTTTCAGAGAACTCATTAAAGATGGCACTTTCTCTTCCTCTTCAGACTTTCATTGACCTCCATCACATCTTTTTCCCTACTTTTCAATTGGACATCGTACCTCTACTCTTTTTTTTCTCCACGTTATCCTTTCCTTCCCGATGACCAACCATGGGCCGACCTCCTCACCTTGAAAGCACACCAGAAACCCCTGGTATCTAAGATTCAGGACAAACTCGTGGCTCTTGATATCATTAAAAACGCTTCATGGCAGCATGAGGGATAAAGGCGTGCAGCGTGTACGCTCGATGACTCCTAGTGCCAAGCTGCAGTTTAGACAGTACTACACAGAGTCCACTTCAGCAAATCTGGAGTATCTGAAATATATCGGGATATCATGATATGTGCAAATTTAATTCAGACAACAAGAGATCTTTGGCTACCTCCCCTAGGGGGTCCCGGGCCCCAGGTTGGGTACCAATGCTTTAACCAATGCTTTAACCAATGCTACCAAGAGAAAAGACGAGACGGGTCCACGTGGGACGAGATGAGACGAGGCGAGGTGAGAGGTGTAACCCCGCCTCTCGACCAATGATGCTCAGATCAGCTCCAGGCCCCGCAACCAGAAGTGGTATAAATGGATGGAGGTTCAGGTGTATTATGTATCATACAGCAGCTGATGAAGAACCTGGTTGGGCTGGAAATATCTTGAATTGTGTTTTTTAATGCATATAGCAAATAAAAAAAGTATAATTTTGTGAATCTTTGTGAATCACATCTCGTAGTTTTGTTCGACTCTGCATGTGCGTACGCTGGCTGACTTTTTCTAAACTAATACATTCACCCAAAGGTCTGACACTTGGACAGTAATCACTTTGTTTAGTGTTTAAGTTGTGTTAGGAAAGAAGACATGTTGGGTTCTCTGTGATGTTCTTCCTGGTGTTTGTCTTATCAAATATGTTAATCATGTAAAGAGGAAGGAAGTGCAGTGATTAAAAACACTCTGATATCTGTCGTCTGCTCACTGCCTGCAGAGGAGAGTCTTCTTTCAGACGTTACTCTTCTTCACATGTAAGTAGAATCATTCCTCAACATGTCTACTAATGTTTGAGTGCTGCTGTGTTCTTATTATTCCACCTGCTAACATGTTTTATCTTCCTTAAAGTCACAACGAGAGATGAGAGGAGCAGCGATGAGTTTAATCAGAGCAGCGAGTTGGTTTATCGTCGTCCTCCTCTCTGTGTCAGGTATGTCATATCTAGACTTTCATTCATTTCATGTGTATGAAGGTAGATATGTTGCAAAATAGGAGAGCTTGTAGAATGTGATATGAGAGCTTGTAGAATGTGATGTGAGAGCTTGTAGAATGTGATGTGAGAGCTTGAAGGAAAAGTGAACTTGTGTGTAAAAATGTTTACTTGTACAAAAAAATCCACTACTTTTCTCAAGTGAATCTGCGCTGCTTGAGTTTTGCAACACATTTCGCGAGACGTCTGTAGCAAAACAAATTTGTACTTGTACAAATGCCCCCCTCCCCCTCCCTCCTCCCCTCACTGTGTGTCTGCGTGTGGGGGGAACTGGCCAATCAGAAGTAAATTTCCAGTGAATGCAGTTTATATATTCACCACAATCACAAACTACAAGATAGTACAACACTTGCATTAACAGTATTATTAACAGCCGAATTAAATGTACTATAGTCACGAGTATTGGGGTGGCTGGTTGTCTTGGTTTCAGTCACCAATCTCTTGATATAAGAAATTTGTGAAAAATCAATGGAGGATTTGAATGGGGAAAGAGAGCACAGTGTAGTTCTCTCTGTGAGAGAGAGAGACCGAAAGAGAGAGACAGAGAGAGAGAGAGAGAGACAGAGAGAGAGAGAGAGAAAGAGAGAGAGACAGAAAGAGAGAGACAGAGAGAGAGAGAGAGACAGAGAGAGACAGAGAGAGAGAGAGACAGAAAGAGAGAGACAGAGAGAGAGAAAGAGAGAGAGAGACAGAGAGAGACAGAGAGAGACAGAGAGACAGAGAGAGAGAGAGAGAGACAGAGAGAGAGACAGACAGAGAGAGAGAGACAGAGAGAGAGAGAGAGACAGAGAGAGAGACAGAGAGAGAGAGCGAGAGACAGAGAGAGAGACAGACAGAGAGAGAGAGACAGAGAGAGAGAGAGAGAGAGAGAGACACAGAGAGAGAGAGAGAGAGAGACAGAGAGAGAGAGACACACAGAGAGAGAGCGAGAGAGAGAGCGAGAGACAGAGAGAGAGACAGACAGAGAGAGAGAGAGACAGAGAGAGAGAGAGACAGAGAGAGAGAGAGAGAGAGAGAGAGAGAGAGAGAGAGAGACAGAGAGAGAGAGACAGAGAGAGAGAGACAGAGAGAGAGAGAGAGACAGAGAGAGAGAGAGAGAGAGAGAGAGAGAGAGAGACACAGAGAGAGAGAGAGACACAGAGAGAGAGAGAGAGACAGAGAGAGAGAGAGAGAGAGAGACAGAGAGAGAGAGATAGAGAGAGAGCGAGAGACAGAGAGAGAGAGACAG